AATAAAATGGATTGTACATAGATAGAGTGCTGATAAAACACCTCCATGAAAGTGCTAATGGTAGAATCTGAATGGTGAATATTCTCTGTGAACTCTAATTTGCCACACATTTGAATTTTTTTTTTTTAATGCTGGGGATTGAACCTAGGCCCTTGTACATATTAGGCAAGCATTCTACCACTGGGCTACCCCCAACTCTTTTTGAGAAAGGATCTCATTAAGTTGCTCAATCCAACCTCAAACTTCCTCCTCTACCTTCCAAATAGCTGAGATTTCAGCCAAGTGACATTTGAACTTTTCATACAAAACTTAAATTATCATTTAACTTATTTATCAAAAATGTATACAGCTGTCAAGTAGAAAGGGAAGCTATAGGCAAATCACACAAATCCTTGTAAGCTCAACAGAAAAAAATCACTTCTACTTTTAACTCAAATTGTCCCCATTACTCTTGGGAATGCTCTGAAAAGAAGAGTCATTTTTTATCTGGGTCTTATGTCTCCACTAAGCCTGTTCATTCATTAAGTTTTCAATGCTTTTTTCTTCCCTTGGCCTTACCATTCTAACACTCATCTCCATTTTTTTTTAATCTCCCAAAGCTTTGTTTCAATGAAATAATTCATGAAACATGATTGAATCCCCATAAGTTGAGTTCCCCTTCCCACCTTAATGGTAAATTCTGAGTTCATCTCAAAATATTTCATTTCTTCTTGTTCAGCAGAAGTTCAGAGAGTTTCAGATCCCTTTTTACCACAATCTTCATTTTAGGGGTAAAAAGTCACACTCTTTCTCTTGTGTATCTAACAGACATTCTTTTAGGTTCTTTTCTCTGTGTCTTTATCCCTGTCTCAGTTTCTGTGTCTTTCATTTCTCTTTCTCATATGTATACTTAGACTTCCACGTCTCTGTCTCTCTCATTAGGTTAATGAAAAATATGAAGTGCATTTGTAAAAATAAATAGAAACAAACTAAAGAGTGCCCATCCATAAAACTATCCCTAAGAAAAGAAAATTCCTCCTACCTGGCAAAACCTTCGAGGCTGGTCCTTTCAATTTTTCCTTCTGGTCTTCATCACTTAAGAAGCTGTTTGAGCTTTGGGAATTCCCTACAGTACAGGAAGGCTCAAGGGCACCATGACAAATCAGCTTTTCTAGCATTTAATACTCTCTTGGGGCCATGGAAGGGGGGCAAGGGGAGGAGAAAAGGATGTGTTTATGGTGACTGACAACATTGCTTGCACTCGTCCATGCTTTATTGCCATTAAATAAAAATGCTCATTCACTCTGTAAACACCGGTCTTAAAAACAAATACAAAAACATAAACCAGGAAGAACATTCTCAAAAAAATCATAATAATGAAGTAACATAAATGAAACCAGCCTCTTCAATTTTAATGAAAATTCCCAAGAATTAAAATTCATCACAATTATCCCTATCCCTATTTCAATATTTTGTGGGGGTATTTGGTTGTTGTTGTTGTTGTTGTAGTTTTGTTTTCCTTTGTTTTATTTATTTATTTTTTAAAATGTGGTGCTGAGGATCGAACCCAGGGCCTTGCATGTGCTAGGCGAGCGCTCTAATCAACCCAGCCCCTCAATATTTTGTTTTTCATTTCATACAGTTTCTAAACTGTATTTTCTCAAGAGCAGGTACTGGGTATTATTCATCTTCTAGTCACTCATGTCCTCCAGATATCCCATAGCAAAGAGACTTACATATATTGGGTTTCAACACAGCATGTACAATGGGTGGATGGATGGATGCCTACAGAGATAAATTAATGCTGGGCTCAGTGGTGCACACCTGTAATCTCAGTGGCTTGTGAGGCTGAGGTAGGAGGATCACATGAAATAAAAAATAGGGCTGGGGATATGGCTCAGAGGTTGAGTGCCCCTGGTGGTACCCCTACCACCACCAAAATAAGAGATAAATTAATGAATTACACAAGGGCAAACACTCCCTGTGTGCATAACATTTACTTAGGCAAAAGTCAGTATTCATCTTGGATGCTCTAAACTGGACCATATGCCTCAGATTAGCAATCAGGATGTAGTTCAAAAGAAATATATTAGTATTAACATGCGTGTATGCATGAGTTAAGATAACAAGAAACCTAACAATAATTTTGTTTAGAAAAAGAGAATTGTTTCTCTCTCACATCATTCAATTTAAGGTGGGTATTCCCAGTCACCTGGAGGCTTTCCTTAGCACAGTCATTCAGGGACCCGCTAATATAGACATGCATACCCAACCCAGGGCATCTAAGATTCCTACAACTATCAACAGGGCAGCCAGTGGAAGTTAAGCCCAGGGACATCCTCCTAAGCAAGGAAGGGCTGAAGTTGTCACATCACTTCTGCTCACATTCTGTTAATCAGAGTTTGGTCACTAGCCATAGCAGCTGCAAGGAGGACTTGAGATTGGGTTTCCAGCTAGTCAGTCATATGCTCAGCTCATTTCTGTTACCATAGTAGGAGCTTGGTTCATGCACAGTGGGGGGCAATTTAGACTCTTTCCCTGGAGTAGTGCAACCTCAGGAACTCCAGGTGGTCCCCCAGGCTGGGTTCAAGGCCTGTATGGAGTGCAGGATTCTCCAGAAGTAAAGACTGTGTCTGTGCAGTCATTGGGACCACTGGGGTCCCCTGTTTACTTTTTCCCTTTGGAGAGGTCTGTCCTGGTTCCAAACTGATCTTGACTTGGGGAGATGGGGTGGCAGGGGCAAGGTGCTTCGTTCCCTTCTCTGTGTGGCCATCTTGAGTTGCTGTGCTCTACGGGATTTCCGCCACTCCAGCTACCATCACCACCTCATTTTGCATACATGTTTATTACTTCAGGGTCGGAGGGTTCATATTTGGAATGCAGTGTTGTTTCATTTCTGGCATAAATACTTGAGGAAATGAGGTCAAATAAAGTTTCCCAAAATAAATTATCACTAGAAAGACATTCTATCATTAACAGAGTTGGATTCATGCTTCCCATATTTTCCAGGCTTGTTAAATTTGACAGAAAAATCTAAGGAGCCTCCTACACAGAAGATAACCCCAAAATGATAGGATAGGGCTGGAGATGTAGCTCAGTTGGTAGAGTGCTTGCCCCACATACACAAAGCCCTGGGTTCAATCCCCAGCACCATGAGATATGTAGATATAGATATAGATAAAAGCTAGTTCATTCTTTATCAATTGTTCCTTAATTATCGATGATGTTAAATCAGCCTAGAGACCCCCACCCAGAAGACCCTTACCATAACTAAGCAAAAACCCCTGACCGTATTTGTAACATATAAGTTCCTCTTCTTGTCAGAAAGCTTTTTACACAGGATATCAGCTACCAGCAAAATTGTGTGCAGAGGGCATTGTGGTTTGTAGCTTCCTCTTCGTCTGTAAATGCCAAGTTTTCCGTGAAAAAAAAAATTTACTTTTATATAGACTTACGTAAAGTCTAAAAAAAAATGTAAAACACCACTACCACCACTACCACTGGGTATAAAGTTCAAAGAATTTCCAGATTCTTGGTCCAGAGAATATTTTAGGTGGTAGCCCTCTGAACCCTGCAGTTAATAAATCTACTTCCTGAAAATTCCTCAGTTGTCCAACCTTTTCTGTCCTACATCCATGTGGAGATAACAGGGGCAACATTTTTATGCTGCTTGGAAGTAGAGTCACTCAGCATAGAGTCAAAAAACATAACTGCTTACCAAATGTTCTGATTCCTTCTGGGAAGTAAGTTATCATGCACAAAATTCTTCAGCAAAAAAGTTCTGCTCAGGGAGCCACGATCTCCCCTCTATTTCACTCCCAACAACATTCCCTTCCTCTAGTCTCCCTTTTATTCTTCCAGGGCTCTCAGGAGTAGTGTGGATCCCAAGGTGACTTCAGGATCAAGGTCTTGACCTCTCCAGGGCTGACCCTGGTTGAGTAGCGGAGTCCTCACTTCCACAAGTACTTCAGAGCATTCACCACTTTTCTCTGTCTCCTCTCCTGCTCTTCCAACCACGTTTCCAGTCTCTGCATGCTATTCTCTCAGGGAGAAGCCTGCCATTTTCTGTAAAGTCTAAAAGTTTTGTTTCCTCCAAATGCTGACCCTGAGATAAAAACTAGGACGTCAGTGGTGTATCTGAAAAGGGACCCAAGGAAACAGGGAAAGCAGACCTGAAGAAGCAAAAGTCAAAACGTGTGCCTTGGGCTGGGGATATGGCTCAAGCGGTAGCGCACTCGCCTGGCATGTGTGCGGCCCGGGTTCGATCCTCAGCACCACATACAAACAAAGATGTTGTGTCCTCCGAGAACTAAAAAATAAATATTAAAATTCTCTCTCTTAAAAAAAAAAAAACGTGTGCCTTATAGTGTATGCTACCTCTATAGGCAACTGGGGATCAATTCTGCTAGAAATCATCTGAGAAACTGTAGAAAGACCCTCAGAATCATCCCATTGAGAGACACTGCTACCCCTTAGTGGTGGAGGATTGCCTCTTGGGTGGGGGTAAATCCCTGGCACTTCTAAACTGCCCTGTGAGCCCGTTAAGTAAGTTCCTTTTCAGTAGGGAAAGATCTCAGGCTGAGGCTGGATGATTGGACTCTCGGGAAGTCAGGCTGCGGGCAAGCTCTGGAACTGGCGGAGGGGGGAGGTGAACTTGGGGGTCCTGTGCGCATGCTCAGAAACGTACCCACTCATGCTCTTCTCAGAACCTCCCATAACCTGTGCTACTGGGTGTGGAACCAAACTTCTCAGATCAGAGTCTGTGAGTCCTTCTCCTTCGTTCTTGCAAACATTGATGTCAAAATTCATTAGTGGCCTCATTAAGGTATACTGGCCTTATTTCATTCAGAGAGGCTTCCCTTAATAGGGTGTGAAATGCTCTAGAAGTGATATCTCCTTTACGATGATTGGCACATGGTGGGATCTCAACCAATATTTGTACAGTGACTAAATGAACAAAGAATCACCTCCAGAAGACCTCCAACTCCACAATCTCTGTAGTGTGAGGTCCACTTCAGTCAACAAGTTAATCTAACTTTGTTAAATGGCAAGTGTGACCTTGATGGTCTTATCAAATAGACTTTATCACCTCTAGCCAAATTGTGTGCAGCACAGATTTACACCTTACATCACTTCTTGATATTTAGACTAAAAAAGCCATGCATTGTATCAGGGAAGACCGTGATGGAGTGCACATCTGAGGAGTGGAAGATGAATTTTCTCTTCTGAAGCTGGTTTTTTTTTTTAAAAAAAAAAAAGAAGAAAGAAAGAAAGAAAGAAAGAAAAGAAAAACTTTCGTTAATTAACAAAAGGACATGAGAAAACTTGTTTTCTAAAATCATATACCATCAGAAACTTCAACTGTTAGAAATCATATTTAGTGAGAATGAAACACTTCATTCTTGCCTGGAGGATCCAAGTCATTTTAACACATAGAAACAGCCTCAATTTCCACCCAGGTGGAGAACTTCAGATAAGGGTTTTGCACATGGCATTCCACATTTATCTTAACTTTGTAGTTTCCAAGGAAACAGGACCCTGTGTTCTCATCTCAGCCCAGGCCTGATATCAATCCCTTTGTACACAGCCCTGCTTTGAGCTGGCACACACTGCTTTTAAAAGAGTCTATGACTCTTGAGGTTTTGTTTGGCACACAAATTTTATCTAAACTCACTCTTCACTAAATAGACAAGCCTGCATTTTCCTTTGTCTGGCAAGGTGCCCACAATCTCTCTCTAGTGTGAGGTCCCCTTCGGTCAACAATTTAATCTAACTTTGTTGAATGGCAAGTGTGTCCTTGATGGTCTTAATCAAATGGACTTTATCACCTCTAGCCAAATTGTGAGCAGCACAGATTATTTATAGGAAGGTTGCTAGGCATTGCCATGAAAAGCACTTAAAGATAGACACCAAAGGCTGGGCATGTAAACTTCAGGAAGGAGCTAAGTCAGAATTAAAAACAAAACAAAAAACTGGTGGCTTTTAAGAAATAATGAGCTTTTGAGAAGAGTGAATTTATGTAGCAGACCTGAACATACAGTAGAAAATAAGGGAGCAACCATGACCAGATAAGTCATTTACTCTTTGCCTGCTGCCTTGAGTGGCAACTCTACTTGAATGGAAACCTGTACCCTAGGCTCCCCTGAGAGCTGCCTCACAGAATTCATCTACACTACAATTGGCCCAAGATTTGTCATGTGACCCAAGCTCAGCTAATCAGAGTCTTGCCTTAGGGTTCCCCCCCCCAATGTTTCTGGTTATGAAACTTTATAGATGTGTGCTGAAGTTTCCTATTTCAGTGGTTTCACTGGGACAGACTAACCCAACATACAGAAGAAAACAGAGATGACAACCTGAAGATATTCAATTACTTGAATCCTGCCCTTTCCACTTTTTTTTTTTTTAATTTCACTTTGTGTTATTTTGTTTCTGTTTTGGTTGGAGGAGTGTTGTTTGTGACAGTGGATACATTACCTCATCTGCTTAAACTAATTCAATTTAAATTTTGGTCACTCGTAATCCAGAATCATCACTATGACTTTTGCACAGGTACAATTTCACAGTCTCTCTGGGGTCCCACATTTTGCTTTTTACTTGATGTTTATTCCATCTTTAAAGATGCAAGCCTGCACTTCTTTTGTCAGACCAGAGACACCATGTAATTAAACAGTTTTTTCTATTTCCTTTTACTGCCAGGAATCCTAAAGCCAAAAACAATACCCAGCTGCAAAAATATTTGTATATCCATAGAATTTAGCTCTGGAAAGAACCTTAGAGATTATATCTAGTCAAACCTCCTTATTCTCCAAATGGTGATGCGATTTGCCCAAGGAATACATAAGCAATTGGCCATTTTCTTGGTTAACTGGTCACATCTACTCACTTTTATCCCTTTATATTCTCTCTCTTCTTTTATCTGAAAACTGCCTTGAATAAGAGCATCTTCATTCTCATCTTCACTGATGGGAGGGCTGAGAATAGCAGATGAAGAAATGATGATCTTGGGGAAGGAAGAAAGGAAATAAATGGGCAGAGATAATGTGATTTAACCAAGGAATTAATATTATTCAACCTACCAAAGCCTGGAAGTTTATACATGAGTTCAGATGTTTCAAAAGGGGAAGTGATTATTAAGGCTAGAAAGAGAAGGTTTGGTGCTAAACTCAAGAGTTCCTAAGATTTGGTTACAGTTATAATACTCGATGACTTAAAGATCTATTAAAGTCATACCTAATAGAATGAATTAGGCAATGCTAGTCAAACGTTTGTAACTGCATATGTCTAGTCAAAACCGTGTCAAAACCAGACTGTGACACAATCTCAGAGGCAAGCCGCCACATCTCACAAGTCCTTCATGGGTGTAAAAGACGAAATAGGGAATGATGCAATAAATGTAGTCTGTGATACAGAATCTCTCTTTAGGGTCTTTGGGAAATAGGTTACCAGCAGCCATAAAGAAAAGGGATAAGCATTTCCTTCCTCTCTCCAGGTGAGGATGGTACTGGGACCATCCTGATCCACCTCAATGGGACCATACCCACCAGAGTGAGACTTGACAGCCCCATTGTGTTTGTGACCTTTATGAAGAACTGCTCACTCAACTTTTCTAGAACTTCACCTCTCATGCTGTTCCTAGACAGTTTAACTCTGGTTCCCTTGAGGGGTTCCCCAGTTTTTGCCTCAGCTTTCTCCTTGGACCTATACTTTGTGAAAGCATCCTTTTCAGATTATTAACAATCATAATTCTCCTATGAATAGATAATAAACACATGTCAAAGTTTGATTTAACCCAATGCAGGGAAGAGCCTCTCTATGAGGATATGAGAAACCTGGTTTATATGGTCAGCAGAAGAATCTGACCAAAGTTAAAATGCTAAGCCAGGTACGAAACTGGTTAATTTCCTACAAGGCAACAATACCTTAATCTTTGGGGTTATCTTCTCTACTGGACCAAAAAAAAAAAGTTCCTTTTTCAGTTTAATGCAACTTAATCTTAACTTTTCAGAGATGTAAAACAAATGAGCTCTAATCAATTGTGAATAGTAAGTCACAGAAAATTACATTCCCTAAGAGTCAGAATGCCCTAAGGCAGGCTTATTAGAAAGCACTCTAGCATGGCATTAAAATGTCAGGCAATCACCTTTTTACTTCACTCCCAAATTTTACATAATTTGGCTTAACAGCTTTTTTTTTTTCTTTTCAAACCTCAAATCTCTGCTTTTCTCTCAGAGGATACTGCTTGGGTAAACCCAGAAACATCCCATAGCCTTGCCACTGGGGAATATCCACAAGGTTTTTTCCTGGCTAGCCTGATGGATTGATGGACTTCATAAATTGTCTAGCTGGTTTTGTTTGTTTTGTTTTGTTTTGTTTTCAATACTAGAATGCCAGTTTGTAGTTAAAGCAAAAATTTTTTGAACTCTGTAAACCAAAGGATCTCAAACTCAAGCATGCATCGAATCCTCCCAGCAATTGTGATTCCCTGACCTCAAAGTGGAGTTTGGGTATTTTTTTAACAACCATCCCTAAGTGATTCTAGGTCTTACCTTTTCTAACTTCTAGACTGGGTTCTAGGTTGGCTCATGAGAATTTACAATGGGATAAGGAATTTACAAACATATTCATGTTGTTATTTCAGTATGTCCTTCTCTAACCCCCACCCTGACAGGAGCACTAAAATCCCCCCACACACACTTCAGTCAATAAAAGAATTAAATAAAAAATCTGTTTCAGCACGATTGAGGAGAATTCAGTTGGCTGTTCATAAAAAAAGAAAAAAATGTGACAAAGACCATTCATTATGTGGGGTTGAAAAAGGAAACAAATATCCCTAGAGTGGTCACAACCCTACACTTTGTGTGTATACTGAGCCCTGGTCGATCAGGGCCTTTGGAAAGAAACTCCGAAATACAATCCAGACAGAGGACCATTTCTCCAGTTTGCTGGAAACGAGGTAGAATAAACCAACTCTGAGCATGGCCACCATTATGGAACCATGGAGCCACAGCCCAGGACCCCCTCCTTGCTCTAGCTGAGGATACCTACTTAATCATGTGGAGATGAGGAGAGAATCCCAATCCCAACTGGGGCTAAATGCCCTGTCGACCAGATAGAGGGAATTTCAGAAGAGGTTGTCACATAGAGGGGGGAAAAAAAAAAGTACCAAGAGAAAACCAGAATAGTTATTGAGAGCAAGGACTCTGGGGCTAGACTGTTCTGGGTTGAAATACTAGCCCTGCCTTTTGTTGACCTTGTGACCTTGGGCCAGTTACTTAATCTGTAGCTCAGTTTTCTCATCTCTAAAATAAGAAGAGTAATAGCCCCAGTCTTGTGAGGTCCCTGTGGAGTTTGATGAGTTGACCAAGGCAAAGCATTAGGACAAGTCCTGGCACTTGTCAACAGCTACATAGGTGTTTTCTGTTGTTGTGATTCTGAAACTCAAATGCTCTGGAGTGGAAATCACACCTGCTACGTTCCTAGGTCTCACTGAGGAAATACTTCCTCCAGAGCAGTTTTATCCCATTGGCAAAGGCATTTCACCTCGGTTTCTGACTTTGTTCTTTGGCAGAGGGTTGAGTTTTTAAGATTAAAACTCATTTTCATAAAGTTGCTGTGTGATTGGGGAATGGCAGTATTGGGGGAGGAATTTGAATAACCAGGCAGTGTTCTAGGAATCTGACAAAGAACTGAGGAATAAAATAAGAATATGAATATATATAATCCTATGTTACATATATATTCAGTTATCTCTATATTCAGCTACTTTGATGATTCATTTATTTCACAAATTATCTGTGCAGTTGGATTTATTTTTAACCTTTTACATTGCACAAAAAAATACATATTTCATGATATTAATAGAAAATCTGAACAATTCAGATAAGCCTAAAAGAGAAATATCACCCACAACCCCACTGCCCAGAAATAACCCTTTTAAAATGGAAAGTGTTCCTTGCTTTGTTCTTTGAAGGCTGTTTTGTTTCTTGTGTGTTTGGGAGGAGGGTAAGATGAGCTGGGTGCCGCTGAGAGAAAGAACTCCTGCCCAGTAGGCAGAGATGAGGAGATGAGTTGGCCACGTGACCCATCAGCAACTAAGCTCATCTCTCTGATCTACATGATGCAGGCCACAGGCAAGGTTTTCTTGACAGTTCTTTTTTTAATCCAAAGGATAAAGGCTGAATTCCAGCAAATTCTAGCCTCTGGCTGAGGCCTCTGAACACAAAAGATGCCAGCCCCTTTGCAGAGCTCATTCAAAAGTTGGAGTAGAAGAGTTGATCACTAGAGGAAAGAGCAAAAAGCTGTTTGTCTCTCTGATTAGCGCTAGGATGAGAATTCATTCTGCTGGGCATGGTTACAGCCCAAGGACACAGACTCAGCACACCCTCTGCTGGTCAGTTGGGCACTCCTGGCACTGCATCCTCACGGAACAATTTTGTTGTTGTTGATGATGATGATGATGATGATGATCGATTTCAACACCCCCTCATGGATGGGGTCATAAAGACGCATAGATAATGCTTAGATTCTACCAACGGAGAATCTCCTAGCAAAATTCCACTGAAGAGAGACCAGCTGGGAGCTACTAGGATTTTTTGAAGTGACAGTTTGCTCCAGACGAGCAAATCCCCTCCACGAGTCGCAGAGGTCCAGAGCCACAGAGGTCCAGATCCGCCAGCCGTTGTCGGCGCATCCCGGAGCGGCTGCACGCCCACCCGCTCGCAGCCAACGTGACTGGGTCTCGCTAGCCTCCGCGAGATGCAGCTTGGCAGGAAGAGGTCTTTAGCCAAGCCTTCATGAAATAGTGAGCCAGGAGCTGAGGCCAACCGGGGAAGGACCAGTCCCACCCCTCCCTTCGGACACTCCGGCAAGGAGCCTGGGGCCCGCCATAGCAGAGAGGAAACGTCATCGGAGTCCAGCCCACGGAATTCCTTCCCAGCAGAATCCACTTTAGCAGGTGTGTGACTCCCGCCCCATCCAGATACAGGCAGCCAGGAAACTTTGGGGATCTCTCTGGGGGCGTGTCTGTGGAGAAGCAGAGGGGATCCCCGACCCCCAACCCTCCATATCACCAGCGGCAACTCCCAAGGTCTTAGCCGCCAGTTTACCACAGCACTGGGGCTTAAATGGGACTCGCAGTGGGGCTGCAAGTGTAACTAGATCTTTGGGGAACCGATTCCGGTGAACAGGACCTGGCTGGCCAGCTGACAGGAGGAAGGGGGGAGGGGCCGGAGAGGTGAAATGGCTCTGGACTGACAAGTCTGAGACTACCAGGAGACGCCTTACAGGGTTTGCTATTGGCAGGTAGAGGGCAGAGACTCCGCTCGGAGGGCACAGCTCCGCCTACTGGAAGAGAAGAAAATGGATCTCTAAGACTTCAATTTTTTTCCTTTTTTTTTTTTCTGCTTCTCTCTCTGTTCCTCTCTCCCCTTTTCCTTCCTTCTTTCTTTTCCGTTTCAAGTCTTATTGTCCTTTTCATTCTCCTCTAATCTGTCTATCTCTCTCTCCTTCTTTCTTTTTAAGAGCACCTTCATTCCCCTACCCCCCAACTTTCATCCCAAGCATTAAGTCTTCCATTACGTGTAATTGTCTAAATGCAAATAGGTGAATGTCTCAAGGCTGTCTATAGGGCTCCTAAATACCTAGCTACTACCAACACCCTGATCCAATCGCCTGTTAGTATCCCCCTTCAGTAGAGCAATCTTCTAAAGTAGCCAAGACATACTAACCCTCATACCATCATAGCATCTATCCTAAACATAAAGTCCTAAGAACAAACAACAAATCACTATATGCATACAGAACCCGGAAGCCTTTTATGAATTGAATGAATTAGCCTTAAAGTACAATAAAGCCCAACATTTCTAGGCATAATCTCCCACCACAAAGGAGAGACAACAGAGATATACAAAGCCAAAAAAAATGTATAGGAGAAAGCAGTTACACAGCAGTCAAACAGAGCTGGAAAGTAACGTAAACAACATGAAAAAACCAAGGGAAAAAAGGATTACAAACAATGCAGGACAACTTAAATCTACAGGAGGACCTAGAAGCATCAGAAACATGGACAGGGAAAGAAATCAAGGCATACCTAACTCAGATGGAATGGAATATTAGAGAAGATATGAGACAGCAAATCCAAGCAATGAAAGTATATTTTGAAAATGAATTAAACAAACAAATTCAAACTGAAAAGATTGAGCTTTACCAGGAGATAGAGATTTAAAAAAAAAACAGTAATCCTAGAAATGCAGGAATCCATAAACCAGATTAAAAACTCTAACGAGAATATTACAAATAGACTAGATCAAGTAGAAGTCAGAACATCAGATAATGAAGACAAAGTTTATCAACTTGAAAAGAATATAGTCAACACAGAAAGGATGCTTAAATCTCACGAGCAATCTATCCAAGAGATATGGGATCTCATAAAAAAAAACAAATTTGAGAGTCATTGGGATAGAAGAAGGCACAGAGTTTCAAACCAAAGGAATGGACAACTTATTAAATGAAATAATCCTAGAAAACTTCCCAGAGATGAAAGATGTAATGGATTGCCAAATCCTAGAAGCCTACAGAACCCCAAACATCCAAAACCGTAATAGACCAACTCCAAGACATATAATTATGAAGATAGCCAACATACAGAACAAGGAGAGAATATTAAAAGCTACGAGAGAAAGGAGGCAGGGGTAAACCAATTAGATTAACGACTGATTTTTCATCACAGACTTTGAAAGCGAGAAGATCCTGGAACAACATATTTCAAACGCTGAAAAATAATGGATTCCAAGCAAGAATACTGTATCCAGCAAAATTAAGCTTAAGATTTGACAATGAAATTAAAATATTTCACGATAAACAAAAGCTAAAAGAATTCGCAGCCAGAAAACCAGCACTGCAAAGCATTTTGAGCAAAATACTACAAGAAGAGGAATTGAAAAATAGCGCCCAAAACTAACAGTGGGAGGTATCTCAGTAAAGGGGGAGGAAAAATAACCAAAGAGGAAAAATTAGCCAAACTAAAATAAATAAATAAATAAACATGACTGGAAGTACAAACCATATTTCAATTGTAACCTTAAATGTTAATGGCTTAAATTCACCAATCAAGAGAGATAGGCTAAGAACCTGGATTAAAAAAACAAATCCAACAATATGCTGCCTTCAGGAGACTCATATGATAGGAAAAGACATACACAGGCTGAAGGTGAAAGGTTGGGAAAAATCATACCACTCACATGGCCCTCGGAAGCAAGCAGGAGTAGCCATACTCATATCGAATAAAATCAACTTCAAACCTAAGTTAATCAAAAGGGATAAAGAAGGACACTATATACTGTTAAAAGGAACCATGCACCATCAAGACATAACAATTATCAATTTGTATGCACCAAACAATGGTGCTGCAACGTTCATAAAACAAACTCTCCTCAAGTTCAAGAGTCAAATAGACCACAACACAATAATTATGGGTGACTTCAACACACCACTCTCAACATGGACAGATCCTCTAGACAAAAGCTGAACAAAGAAACTATAAAACTCAATAACGCAATCAATAACCTAGACTTAACCGACAATATATAGAATATATCAACCATCATCAAGTGGATACACGTTCTTCTCAGCAGCACATGGATCCTACTCAAAGATAGACCATATATTATGCCATAGGGCGATTCTCAGTAAATATAAAGGTGTGGAGTTAATACCATGCACCATATCTGACCATAATGGAATGAAACTAGAAATCAATGATAAAAGAAGGAAGAAAAAATCCTGCATCACCTGGAAAATGAACAATATGTTACTGAATGAACAATGAGTTACAGAAGACATAAAGGAGAAAATAAAAAAATTCTTAGAGATAAATGACAATACAGACACAACATACTGGAATCTAGGGGACACAATGAAAGCAGTTTTAAGGGGAAATTCATTTCCTGGAGTTCATTCCTCAAAAAAAGAAAAAAAACAAATAAATGAACTCACACTACATCTTAAAATCCTAGAAAAGGAAGAGCAAAACAACAGCAAATGTAGTAGAAGACAAGAAATAATTAAAATCAGAGTGGAAATCAACGAAATTGAAACAAAA